ATCGGGCACTGCATGGCGCCGTCAAGCTTCGGAAATTCGCAATTTTTAACGGATTCCCGGTGCTGCCGCCCGCAGCCTGGGCTCCCTGGGCTCCTGCAACCCCTCCTAAATTGCGGGTACATGCACCACCACCACTATTATTATCAGCCCGGTCCCTCCTGCAGAGGAAAACACACACATTAATCGGCTGCAGCTGTGGCCTGCTGGAGACCTCTGTAGGAAGAGGCTGGCGGTGGCGTGGGCTGCGACAAGGTCCCTTTGGTCCGGCAGACTCCGCACCTGCACCTCCCTCTCACCGGGCTGGGCTCTCCGTGCGTTGGCTGCTCACTTCATGAATACGAGGCAGCTGGCGGCGCACTGCAGCTGAATTCGTTGGCCGTTCAGCCGAGCCCTGGCGCAATCGTATGGGTGATGCAGCGCCGACTCACGCTCCTCGTGTGCTGCCCATCCCGCACGGAGGGCTGCCGTGGCCGCCGTAAAAAGCCCCCGCGGGGACTCCAGGCTCCGGCAGCACCGTGAAGGAAATCATTCAACCCTGTAGCGCGGCAAAGTCTGCACGGTGGCCCCATTCAAAATCAAAGAAATGGAATTATCCCCCTCCACGATGAAAACGCCCTCCGCGTGGGACGCCATGTCTGGTGCAGATGCCGGGCAAAAATCAAATGAACACGCCGCTGGGGCGTCGCGCCGCCTCCAAGCAAAATGCCTGTGCGGTGGCCATCGCGGTTGGACGGTCTGCCCCACAAACGTGCGCCTCAACAACTCTGCCCTTTGCGCCACCTTCACGGCAACAAATTGAAAGAAACATATTTCCAATTGGGACAGTTTCCGGCAAAATAACAATAATTCACAGCGCCCGCCCACTCGCCCCGCAAGCCCCCAAAAATCAAAATAATAATAATAATAATATATTTGTCCCTTCGTAATTGTGCCTCCTCATTTCCACGCAGCGTGAATTGTTCATTGCGGGCACCTCAGCTTGTTGTCGTCTCGCCCACCAGCTTCTTCCCTCGCGCGGCGCACAAAGAACTGCGGATGCCGTGCGCATGTGGACGGGAAACGCCGACAGCCATGAATGGTGTCCGCCATTCCCTGCATAGAGTGGGCAAAGCAAGAAAATCATTAAAAAGGTAAAAAAAAAAATTGTTCCCGGCGATCCACCCAGCGGGGGAACCAGCCCACGACCGGGACGAAAAGCAAGACAATTCCGCAACGGATTCACAATTAATTTGGGGGGTCACATGTTTTCCCTCTGCGTGGTGCAGCCCCCGACGTCGCTGGTCAGCAAAGCGCAAAGAAGCCCCACACTGCAAGCAGCAGAAGCAGTGGCAACAGCATTCCAGACAGACGCCCACG